CCCCCCCCCCCCCCCCCCCCCCCCCAGCCAAGCGAGAATCATAATGGCCAGGGTCTCTCTCTTGCTCTCTGAAGAGAGAGAACACAAGCGAGTCACGATTGCCAGTGCCTCTCCCTGAGAGTAATACTGATTATTGTCTTCTCTTCTTCCTCCCCATTGAGTAATATGAATCATAGGGTCAATGCTGCTTCTTTACTCTCCCTGATGACAGTAATAATAATTTCTTACTCCCTGGTGAATTATTGCCAATCCCTTTTGCCACCTACTGGTAAATTTTGTCCTGTTCTTCCCCTCCCCAGTGAGTAATAATAGCTATTGTCCTTTTTTCCCATCAGAGTAATACTTGTCAGCATTAATGGTTATTGTTCCCTGTCCCCCAAAGGAGTAATAATGGCAATACTTCTTCCACATGCAGAGGTTTTTAATGGCGAATGTTACTTTCTTCACTCCAACCCCTATAGTACTGTAGGTTTGTATTGTAGTTTAACGTTTTGTAAATACATGCTTTTATACGTTGATGAAATAAATAAGCTCGTCGTATACCTGGGAGGTATTCTGAGTTTTTTCTTTAATTTCAGAAAGAGGTACTAGGTGTATACATCCAAAGCCTTGCTGTACTAGAGGGTTGCACTTGCACCTTTTTTCAGTCCACACTAACCATCCTATTTCAAAATATCGACACAAAATGTACCATCGCTGTTGCAATAACTGCATTGTGCATCATGCAGTGTGCAGCCCAGGTCCCTGAAGCAGGGATTTTTAGAATTAGCTAGCCCTATTTTGAAAGATGATGCATTATTTTTCTCAAAATATAGAGTATGAAGTAATATTTCTCATTGTACATGCTATTTTTTATTTTGTAAAATTACTTGGCAGTTGTATTGTTATAAAATAGAAAGTTCATGGGCATAAAATCAAACAAGCTGCGGTAGCTCAAAACAAGTAAGTAATCAGACAAGCACAGGAGATACCTGACATTACGCACTGGTTGACAAAGGGATTGTAGGAGCACTGTAGAATTGTGCTGGGAGCGCCAACAGCAATGGGGAAGCTAGAACACCAATATTTTTGGTTTACACTAGCCCAGCCAATGGTACAGTGGCCTGATGCAGGATATGATAGTGACAAATCTTGCTTTGAACAGTCACAGTTGTAGTGATTCATCTTTCTAAAAAAATTTCTCTTCACTTTTTAGTCTCTACATCATGCCCTGCCTCTAAAACAGCTGTTCTTCACAGAAAGAAGCAGAAGTAAAACTAGCAGGACTTCTGTTTCAGTTTCCTGTTGAGAGGAAAACGAACAGTAGTGTGAAACTTATGCAGATCACATCAGTGCAACTGCTGTTCTGTTATTGGTAAGCTGTGTACAGGAGCCACAGAGGTATCAAATTGATGCTGCTAGCCATGGCTTTGATACTTCTACACATAGCTGTTCCACACCGGGAGTGGCAATACAATTGATTGGATTCATTTTCTTTTTTTAATTTTGTAAGCTCTTTGTTCTCTCTGATCAGCAGAAAAGTTAAAGGATAATGTCAGTTTCACTAAATGGCTGCTGGGGGCCTCTTATCCAAGGATTGGCTATACAATTCTGCAAGACTTGATCCTTATGTGTTAGTTAACTTTCATGTAGGCTGTAAGATGAACATTACAAGAAATGTACTTGGAGGACTGGACAACCCAGGACAGTGGTAATAAGAACAGAGAGCCTTTTCTAGGTTGTTGGTCACTTCGACTAGTCAAAAATTTACTGTGTGATAGGCCAAATAGCATGCTTGCTCTTGGGCTCTCTCATCCTGAATCTGTGGACTAGATTGCTGAGATGAAAAGAGAGTAGATGACAGGAGCTTTGGCAGAACCTGGTCCCCTTTCTCCTAACAGCTACTGAATTCTTTCCCATCCCTCCCATTCCTGTACTTAGTGATCTAATCTTCAGGCTCAACATGATTGAGACCAAGAGCAGGTCACCTGGCTCTTGCCAAATCCTCTTCACCACCATCTTGTTTCAGCAACTTGTGGGGGACAAACCCAGTGATGAGCTGCCGAAATCTTAACAACCGGTTCCCTACCGGGTCTTTGGTGGCACTTTGGCCGCGGGTCCTTCACTCGCTCTGGTTTTTGGCGGCACTTTGGCGGCGGGTCCTTCAATGCGGCCCAAGACCCGGAGAGAGTGAAGGACGTGCCGCCGAAGACTCGGAGTGCCACCCGGTGAGCACAAGCCCCACGTGTGTGTGTTTGTTTGTTTTTTAGTCATCCCTGCCGGGGGGGCTGGGTGGGGAAGGCTGTGCCTCCCAAAACAGCCTATCCCACCCCCATCCGACCCCCACGCACATCCAGCCCCGACTGCCCCCCTCAGAACCCGCAACCCATCAACCCTCCCCTGGTCCTTGTCCCCTGACCACTCCCTCCCGAGACCCCCCCCACCCTAACTGCCCCCCAGTGCCACACCCCTACCCAACTCTCCCTGTCCCCTGACTGCTCCGACCCCATCCACCACCACCCCAACAGACCCCCCGGAACTCTCACGCCTACCCAAGCCCCCCCCCTCCCCCCCCCCGTTCCCCGTCCCCTGA